CTTTAAGCAATGCTGCATTGGTTTTCATTTATGTATATTCTACACCAACTTAAGATAGCAATCAATACCATCTATCGAAATAAGTGCATTCACAAAAAAAGGTAAGTGATTTTACTGCTTGTAAAATTACACATGTAAGTAACTGGTATAACTCCACCGATCGTAGCTTTTATCCACAGAGTTTAAAAGAGAATAGATGTAATATAATGAAGCCCTATCCACAGATCTAAAAAGTACAATAAATTTAGTACTGACTTTCTAAAGAATATGAAATCAGATCCTGAAATAGTGACCAGCTTCAACAAATTAAAGGCCATCATTACTAGAGAAAAACAGCTATAAACCCTGCAGTTATGTATTCATTTCTTCCTTACTTCAACGAACAGTAAGTGACACTGCCCATAAGGAGCAAACAGCACCTATGCCCACAAGAGGTATTCAACCTAATGAACACAATGCTGCACTGCCTTCTTACGAAGTACTTACTATGTGGAATTTTATGAACCCATTTTGTCTTATAAATTCTGTATTTTGAAGAGCTCAACTGTTTGCTCATGCCACCTCACCACAGTCCAGTCAAGGTCAATGAGCTGCAACATACCAGACATAAGGGTGTTTCCATAAATGTGACTGCACACTGAACTCAAAAAAAGCAGTCCAACAGTACCAACCTTCAGGGTCTGCACGATACATAAGCAATCACTCCTGTATGGCTTTGTGTGAAAAATGAGGCTTATGTTATTGCTCTTGAGTTACTGTAGCCTGTGGTGAATCTGTTCATTAGTGATGGAAGGAGAATTACATGTATGCAATTATACATATGGCAAGGAAGTGTTCTTTACTACATAAAAATAAAAAAAAGAAAACCAAAAAAATAATTGCACGTGGTAATTTGTTGTTACAGCCCCTCAAAACAGCAAACAAAGATATGACAACAAAGTGACAATAACAGGCATACAATTTTAACTGGAAGATATAAGAATACTCCATGTAACACAGCTACTGGCAATATTGTCTATAATACACCAAGGGACCTTACGGTCAACACAAGGACTTATATAGTACAAAACAATTTGCTGCTGTTGAAATTCTGTGATAGCAGCCTTCATGGTACTGCCACAAAATGGGTTTACATTGTGACCCATCGGGAAAACACATTTTCTTTAATGCTGACAAAAACAAAGTCTGAATAAAACTTTCTATGATGTCTTGATTCTTAAATTAATACAAAAAATCATCATGACTTACAGAAAGTGTTAAATAGCAGCAAAGGGCTAATTATACCATACTAACTTCCTTTTGTCTAGTATAAAAGGACATTTTTTTACTTTGCCTGGCTGAGTGTAATAGCCTATGAATTATGAGATCAAAGCAGCAAACTGTATGTTTTCTAAAGTAAGAGTTTCCTTCACCAAGTTTTACACTTAGTACAGCTGAAAGAGCTGTGTGAAGGGATCAGCACTAAACCCAAAGGACAGGCTGTGCACAGCAAGAAAGAGAGCAACTCCCTCGTGCTTTTTGCAGGTCACTACCAAGGACCATGTTAGCAGATCCACACCAGACCCTTAACAGGCAGCTCTGCTGCTACCAGTAATTAGCTTGGACAGCTCTGGCTCCAGGAGTAGCAGCAAGGCTACACCATAATGAGCTCAGCTGGGATTAGCAGGACAGGGCAGGGAACCAAGAGAGCTGAGGCATTCTGCATTGCGTATGTATCACAGAGATCAAACAAGGATGGCTGGCTAGGTTATCCCCTCACCACCTCATTCCAAAAATGAAGCACGGCAGTGTGTAAAATACAGGCTAATGAAGAGCGACACCTCCAACAGATGAGAGCCACATTAATTAACACAATCCCTAGATCATGGAATACAGTTTCTGTTAGTTCTAGCAAACTTGTAACTTGTCACTGATTTAAGGGGGAGAGAGAAGGAAGAAGAAAAAAAAAAGAGCTGATGTTTTCCTTTTCTGCTTTCAGTAGTAGATGTTTTTATACCAGTTTTGCAAGGAATTCCTCTCATATGGCCTGTAAAATATTTCAGAAAAAACTAATAGGTTTCCTTACTTAAACACCATTTAAGAAATAAACTCACTTCTCAATCAAAAGCTTTTTGTGCTCCCTTTTAAAAAAAGCCATTTCATTCCACACTGCATCAGGATCTACTTGACAAAGCTGACAGAAGTCTGTATGCTGACATCTGCTTTTACTGCTTTCAAGCCTGTTTATGAGTAAAAAAAGGTTGTTTGTTTTCAAATATCTACATGTTTTAGGACAACCAGAATAAAAACATCCTTTTTTTTCAGAAAATACAAATTTCCAAGTAGAACATCCAGTTAATCTAAATTTTGTATGAGGCATACATTCTGAGGCATGAAACCTTAACTGTGGTAAGAAAGAGAAGTTCAATCACATAGTTTCAGACAGATATTAGGCTAGTATGACACCATGCCTCCCAGGTGACATGCGGCAGAATACTGTCACCCACATTCTGTCAACATTACTTAAAATACTGGCATGGGAAATAAGAGGTTAAAACCATCACACAATCTCTTGAAAATAAAAGGAGAGCAATCAGGTCCCCTAATGACCCAGCAAGCCAATCTGAAAGTTGCAACTAATGCCCGCGCTAAATCAAACTGTTGTTTTAGGGTTTAATAAAAGAATTAACTATCTATGGACAAGATCATTAATCATTAATAATCAGTATTAAGATAAAGCATATTGACTTTTGAAGCACAGAAAAATAAAATAAAAATATTTAACCATTTTTCTGTAATTAAAATATTTTTCTATGTTTTAATAATGCCAAAGATAAAACTGTAYTAAAAAACAGTTAAAAATATTAAAACTTTATTAAATGGATTTTAAACTCTGTAATCTAAATTCCTACTGGGGATTGAAATAAACTCTTAGAGAATGTGGTAACCTCCTGAGGCCCCCATCATCTTTGCAATCACGTACATCAGTGCAAGTTGTATGTATASTGACTGGTGGATTAGGTCCCACCAGCTGCCATCTCAATAACAGAYACTAATCTATGAAGAATAAGGAGAATGGGGTCCTCCATCACTTACAGAGGATCTGAAATGCCACATAAGCACCCAATACTGAGTTCTTAACGTACAATTCATATTACAGCAGCACTATGTAGCTTTTTGAGATACCAAAATAACAGAATCTTATTGTTAGAGACTGCTTTTATTTGTGTCTTGTCTACTTCCCTTTGTTTAAGAGTATTAAAAATGAAAAWCAGACCTCTTATGGTGGTTCTATTCTGATGATAAAAATTATCAAAACCCACTTATTTTCAGATCATCTTACATAGAGATGAAAAAAATCAAACRACTAAGTGAAGATTTAGAATAATATTTTCCTGAATACCTACTTTCCCCAAATACATTCCTGCCATAACACAAGCTGRTGTCATTTAATTTAAACAGAATCAGATGTCACCTTTGTCTCCATCCCTTTTCTTTCACTTTTTTTTTTCAGCTATCAGAACCAGAACATCCAGTGCTTCACTGTATATCAAGTTTGAGATTTCACTGTCTTTATCTAGTTCAATTCTTTTATCTTTTTAGCCTTTGTGTCTCAGTGGACATGAACACCTGTTCGCTATAGACATAGAATGAAATAATTTCATTAAATGTAGTAACTTTCATCCCTTAGTCACTTCCAGATTGCATTAAATTTAAAACACTGAACTAGAGGAAAAAAAAAATTCCACATTTTTCCTAAATAAATAATATTTTTTATTATAATTTAAACAAATCTATTTTTCATTATGTTTCGGTATTTTTAAAAATGCTCCTGTGCTACCACCAATGCCTGTAGCAATTTGGTACTTTACCGTTGTTTACATACACTTTTATTTTTCCTTTTTAAAAGACTAACCACTTCTAAGTAAATGCTACTATTTCAAAGCAATGCAAATCTACTAAGATAGGCCGTAGCATTACTTATACATGAGGGAGAGTTTATCATTCGCAGTAGGATGCTTTATGTCACCCCAGACTCTGAACAGCTACCAGTTTTGCAGCATTTTCTGTGACTCTTTGTTCAGAAAGAGTTGCAAAGAATGTGTCAAGGTTAGTCAGTATTGTGCTAACTGCAAAAAAAAATTTTGGCAAAAGACACATGTGCTCATTGAGCTGTAGGTGCATACTAAAGCCCTGTGCTAAATCCACAACAAGAAAATACTTTCTTGAAACAGGTGCTGAAAAAAAAGCATTATTTGATAACTGGAATAGCAAGAAATGTTTTCATACCTCCAATTACATCTGTTTATGAAAAATTCTKCCTGCTAAGGACTTAAAAAGAAAATAATTTCTGCATAAAATTTTCACTGTTCTGTATAGAACCTAAGGGAGATTGATTGATATATAGAATGTTCATTATGCAAATTTTATGTGGCAAAGCTTTTCTTCTTTCCATTAATAAAGATATATTACTGCATTTTTTGGTAAAATTATGAAAAATCATTTAAAAAAAAAAGTTTAACAGATGAAAATACCCTGCTTTCATGTACATATTTTTCCCCTATTTGGAAGGAGATTTTAGCTTTAGTTAATATTGGAATCACTAAATGTTAAAGAGAATATGACTTCTATATTTTAATGAATAAAATATTTTTAATAGTATTTGAAACATAATAAGCTATTGTTGTGCTACAGAAAATTAAAAACACACACAGTCAACAAAATAATTTAGTGAGGAATTAGACAAACATAAGTAAGCAGCTCCAGCAAACCTTTGTCCAGTACTCAGACWAACAATTAGATCCTAAATAAGTTAAGGTGTCAGCTCAATTTATTTCTTTTACGTTTAAATTTTTCTCATATAGGTGTAAGCCATGTATTCTTCTTTAACAAAGGATAGTCTTGATCACCATATAGTAGCTCCATCCTTCAAATCAAACTCTCTTTTGAATACCTGTGCATTACTTCTAATACAGATTTCTTGTGTAAGGAAAATGTTTTTAATGAGCTTTGTAACTTACCTGCTATCACCCTCTTCCCACTGCTTTAATTGCTCTTTTAGTGCTCTGTAGTTGGTCTGTAACATCTGCAGCCTCTCTTCATGTCTTCCATAGGCTGCTCTTAGCTCATAAGATTCTCGAGACTATGATATCAGAAAAACAAAATTAGAGTTGGACAAAGTGTAAGAGACAAAGTTCACATGAAACAAAAGTTCTCTTTTAGCAGCTACTAAGAGACTTAGAAATTTAAATAGAAAGAGCAGGAACCACAGACCTTGAGGTCAAAGTTTTCTTATTACCAAAATTTGAAAATATTTGCTGAATTAGCAATTCACTTAAATATGATTTACATGCTGCTAAAATTTTGAAAAAAATTACTACCAAAACATCAGCTTTCATCTGGTGAATAYATTGGCCTAATTCATTTAAAAACATGGGAGACTGAAAAAGGGTTGTTGGCATTGTCTTTTTATAGAAATTACTTTTCTATTCTTTTTGCCAATGAAAAACTGATCTAAATATTTTCAAGGGAAATACTGGCCATGTAAAAKAAAAAAATTAATTGCTTCAGGATTTCCTCACATATTGTTTCTGTAAAAATATATGCACCTGCAACACCCCGACTCTGTCCTCTAGTAATGCAGCAAAGAAGAAATAAAAACAACTTTTACAATAGCTTTTATATAATAGAAACCATACAGAAAAAATGTACAGAACAGGAAGTAAAATACACTTTGATTTATATTACAGGATAACAACATGTAAGTTTCAAAATGGACTTTTATAAATGACAACATAGTGCTCTGGAAAAAAAATTAACAGTAWAAGAAGATTTTCGCAGCATAAAGCAAGTCAGACTCTGGCATACACMAGTAAAGAATTCACTCGCAAAGAATTCATTATGCTATAGCAAAATCTGCCATCAGAGCTTCATTTTCAGTTCAATGGGAGTTCTGCTTGTAGAGCAATTACAGAACTAACTAAATCACAAYTCTTTATCTGCAAGTATTTACTGCTTTTATACAAGAGGGCTTTTCAGCATTAGTCAGTATATAATATAGACCAATAGTCRGAGGTGTTAACAATAAAAATTAAATCCCACTATAAAAACATGGCAAGCATTTCTAGAGTACTGCTAACTACGAAGTACCTAAACTTCAGCTTGACTTTATCAAATGTAGCCCAGCTTTCATGATGCACAAAGTTGAAAAATACCARCTAAAATTTCAAATAGCATCACACAGAAAATTCCAGAAGTTTTCTGGAAGTGACCCAGGCAACACAAACAGAAGATTTAGGAACACAAASAGGTCCAAAGTAACCCTACCATTAAACAGCTTCTCAAAGTGATGGTGGTAGTTTTTTTCAGAAACAACCTCTAAACAAAATACATTTATAAATTTAGAACTGTTTAAAAAGTACTTTTGACTGTTTTTAAGTGACTCATGTAAATATCACAATGACATTAAAAGCAATTACATAAATAGCAATATAAATCCTAGACTAACAATATAGATAGAGATATTTACCAAGCTTTGCTTGGCACTACAAGAGGAAATTTTCATAAGAATCCAATTATAGATGCTGTATTTTCAAGAGAAGTTCATGAAACAACTGTTCTGAGATTGTTTGATATTGCTAGCAAAAACTGGTCAAGTCTGGCAGGGTACTGGAAAACAACATCTTCAGCATAAATCCTCAGAAGCTTATTAGTGTCAGTGCCCTTTCAGAGATGCAACCAGCTGTAGAATTTGGCCTTTCCTATTTATGAATCTACATTTTTCATTATTGCTTACCTGTTCTATTATCCATTCTGTTACAGTTATTGCCTCCTCTTATCACTTGCTCTGCTCTTGCAGAAATAGAAATTAGACAATTAACTGCCCTCATCACTCTCTCTATTGAATTAAGCACTTCATGACTTTAAATATACACTGAAATTTAGATAATCTGTTAGATCCGTCTCTGACTGAATTATGTTACATTCAAAAACTAAATTGTCTTGTAAACAGTTTTCCATATATTTACAGAAGTAGGACAGAACAACCATCTCTAGCAGGGCTCGACCTCCAGATTATTCTACAGCTGTACATTGTCCCTACAGTACTTCCCATGCAATAATGAAAACAGTAACACCAAGCACAATCGCAGGAGGAAAAGCCCAACTGCCTGTGGGAAAAAAGCCTTTTTAATGGTTTTTTTTTTTTTGGCAGGCAGCTCAGACAATGTGAAAGATTCTAACAAATAATTCAAATTTTAGTTGAAATTGACCTCTTACATTAAAAACAAAATTTAGAAAATGACACTAATTAAATTATTTGACTACTATTCTTAGGCTTACAAGAACTGAGGCACCTAATCACTACAAAAACAGCTTCTTTCACAGCTACATAGATAAACCACAATATTAATTTATTTTCAGCATTCAAACACTATACATGGAACAGGACTAGCTCCTCTTGGTTTTGACATCCCGCCAGTTAAAGCCGGGATTATCTCCTCTAGGCTACAASAAGAGCAATACAGGAGAAGATGGACTTTAAACAGCCAAAATTTTACCCACTTCTTAAAGACCAACAGTARACTGAATAACTTATAGTTTGGAGCATTCTAAGTAGTAGCTTGATAATTCATTTAAAACCAAAAAAATACTTTAATTTATTTTGATGTTCTCTTCTATAAACAAGGGTGCAATCAGGCATGTTCTGTTACTTTTTAGTATGTCCAGAAACAAAGCCAATTCTGTATAAAAATGCTGAATTTATATAATCACCCCATTTATATTAGCAACAAAGATAGTTAGAGCCAAGTTTTCTTCTTCAGAAATGAGTCAGCTGAGAGAACTGGAAAAACCTATGAACTGGGCCTTGACCTTTTCTGCACCTTTGTAATACTGACTCAGGCATTCCTGTTCCTGAAAACCCCACAAATAGAGCTGTTCTTTTTTTATTATTACTGTTATCATTTTTTCCAAAGAACTAATGTATAAAGTCACAATTCCATGCTCCAGATATTCATCATCAGTATGTGTATTGCAAGAGCAACCATTGTTCTGAGCAAGGGCATTTCAAGTAATCATATAGTCAACATTTTGTTTGAAGAAGCAACAATCAAGGACCCATTTTGAAAATGTTGGTCAAATTCATTTTTCTTTGTGGCAAACAGTCCCTGAGAGAAGGCCAATATGAAGAAATCACAGAATAGCAACACAAATATTTGATGTTAACTCTATGACAGCTYAGTTCGTTGTCATGGTGGCAGTAGCCTCATTGAAAGTAGTTCTACAACAATGTTGATTATGTTGACCTGGGCCTCTATGGCTTCCTTTCAACACATTAAAGCATTTGCAAAAGAAGCCAAGTAGATTTCAAGAGAAAATACAAGGAGTTCATGTGTTCAGTTTCAAGGGGAGATTAGAATYTAGCCTTTAAAGATATCATGGATGTCTATGATAGAGATCCCACAACTGCAACATCACGAAGCTGCACAGATTTCTAAATTATACCTTAAGATTAAAAAGAAGATAAGTAAAGACAGTATCATGAATGCTACAAATTATTATATGAGGTTATGCAGGAAGAGTTCTTCTCTACCAGCTTCCCTTCACTCCTCTTCCAGAAGAAATGTGGAGCTCTCCATCTTTTAAGGCRACAACCATACACACTGCCATGTGAGTTTGGCTGCAGGGCAAAGGGCAAAGCAGCTGCAGGCCACAGTTCCAAAATAATCTAGCATCAGTGTCTGGCAGGCCATGTAAGAGTAACAAACAGGAAGCCTCACAAAGGCCAGTTCTCAGGTTTAGCTGGTGGAACATGCCTTAGATTTTTCAACAGCAAGAAAAAAATAATTTTCTGTCTCCCAGGAGCAAGACGACCTAGAAGACTGAATTTGAAATCTTTCCTGTTTGTATACTCTAGAAAGTGTATACTCTAATCTTTCCTGTTTGTATACTCTATATGTGTTAGGACAACGTATTAAACTCTCTCAAGTATATGAACGGTGCCATGTGCTAAAATATAACTCCCATTTACAGTTTTTTCTAAAACTGACTTATCACTGTGGTTGATGGASCTCCCAAATTTTTTCATTTTCCTAATATTTATCACAACATGTACAATATAACTAGTTCTACTTTAGGCTACACATACTTGAAAACATCTTTCAAATTCCTTAACTTAATAAAGATAAGCAAGGAAAACAGGAAAGAAGRAGAAGAAAGAGAAGGAGAAGAGGGAGGAGAGGATGAATTTTAAATGTTTAAGAAAATTTGACTCAGGGTATGGGTTTTGCATTCTGAGATGCAATTTTAAACCAATAGTTTGTTCAAAAGGTACTATATTTCTGTAGTAAAATACCAAACCAACAAAAAAAGAGCTATAAAATTATGTGAAACAGGGACAAAATGAGAAATTGTAAAACACACTCAATTAAGATTTTCTGTGAAGGGGTGGAGCAAGGGGGATTGTTATTAGGTATTTTAAACAACATTTATTAGAACAGCAACTAACTGAGCCATAACRTCTATGATTTCTAGGGGTCAATTGTTTCAAGCAACTGATTTCAGCATTTTAAAATATGAACTTATTGTACAGAAAAAAAATTCTTTGTACTTTCAGTGTTTGTACTTTCTGATTTACTTCAAATGAACACATCTATTTCTCAGAATATATATTCTCAAATACGAACTTTGAAAATATATTTAACAAGTACATGTTATTGATGACAGCTCAATTAAGCTTTCACAGGACCGCAGGATTACTCATACAGCAAAGCRAAAAGGTAAATTAAAGGAGAGTGCTCTGTATTATCGTCAGTTATTGTCCACAGCAATATGTGTATTTATAATTTTTAAAATGTCTGTGTGTTTTGGCATATCTTTATCTATGCAAGCTTATAGCTAGCAGGCTTTTTATTTATTTTTATTTAATGTTCACCTTTAGCTGTAATGTCTTCTCTAAGTTTTCAATCTTCCTTTCAGCTATTTTAATCTTCCTTAGCTCCTCTGACTCTCTAAAAGAGCTCTTTGGGGACAGAGACCTTGAACGTTTCACAGGTGGTTCCTGGAGAATAAAACAAGGACATGGTTGAACTAGTTGGAACACCGGATTATGAAAGACATGCAGAATTAAAGAAGAAGTAATTTTGAATACTAATAATGAATTATAAAAAAAAAAAATCTGCATGGAATACCAGAGAAATAACAAGCAGAATTACCACAGCGCTACCACTAAAGGTTTCTCTGTGACTCGTTAATGAGAATATTCATTTACATTTACATTGTTTCTTTCAGAATAATGATGTCCCATTAGGGAAGACTAAAGGGTTATAGACTCAGAAATGCAAGAAACCTCATTACAAAGGAGGGGATAGAGGCTGGTCTAATTGCTCTATAAGGGTCCAAGGTTACACTTGATAGGACAACCAGAAACAAGAGGGAAAGGATTTTTTTCCCTTTGAAATAGTTTAACACACTGTGAAGTTGAAGGAACAATATGCTTGAGGAATATAAATACAACAGACAGTAGATCTTATACCATAATGACCATATGGTCATTAACTATAATGTGACTAACTAGAGACAAGAATATGTGTTTATATTATGTACAGCTTCATATAGCAATCTGGAGAAAGAGTATGTGAAAGTAACACTTAAACTGGGCAGCTTTCTTGTTCAYTCTGTCATATGTCCTTATGGCAAAGAAAGAAAGACCTCATAAAATTAGACTTTCAGATTTTCTGAATAACTTTGGTTAAGAACAGTGAAATACTAACACACGCCTAATGCCAATAAAGTGAAATACTACTACACCAATGCATAAATTCAAATAAAAACTTMAGATAAATTGTGATTATTGTTGTTGTATTTTGCCCCTTTCATTGTGGAATAACTAATGTACAAAAAAGGAATTAAGGATAAATTCTTCAATACTGTATAGATAAATACTTTCATCATTCCATTAAATTAATTTTGAAGAATATTTTAACTAGCAACTGACATTTTTTTTCTTTGACCACTACCATCCAGCATAAAACATTTACAAGACATCATATACCACAATTCCATTTTAAATAGTATGGGTTTCCAAAAAGGAGAAAAAAAAAGTATCATGAAATATCAGAAAAYGGCAATATCTCATATATATATTTACATTTGTGAATGTAAATCTTGTCAGTATGGTTTTGTCATTTGGTTTCAGGATTCTTTTGCTTCTGAAACACACTTGAGAGACTAAAGAAAGCCCAACAAACAATCAAGCAATTTTTTAAAAAAATCCCATCATTTCAACCCCACCAAAAAAA